CCCTCAGTTGAGGGCTCTCTAATACCCTCTCAGGTCCACCCTCTGAGGCCCACAGACCATCATGACATCCCCCCCGATGTCCTCACGGACGCGCACCTGCCCCTCCGCTCTCACCCGCTGCTCCTCAAGGCGCTATGCAATACGCCCCTCGACTTCAACCCTGCTAATGCCACGGCAAAGCAGATGGAGGCCGTCCTGCGTGGGCAGGCCTGGCGAACGTTGCACGACGAACGGGATCGTCGTATACGCTTGTGGAACGAAGGGAGGTTGGACGAATTGCGAGGGTTGATAGAGCAACACCTCGCCGATGCGCGGGAGCATCGGCAGGTTGCTCACGCCCAGTGGGAGGAGGCTGCCGCGGAGGGTGTGGACGATGACAATCGCGCACAAATTGTGACGTCGACCCGGGCGGAGTTCGCGGCTAAGGAGGTATTTTGCGACCTGTGGGAGCTCACGCAGCTGACGCACATGCCAGAGTACTATGGTGTATTCTATGAGCTAGCATGTTTCCCCTCACAGCGGGTCATGCTCGTGTATGAAGGCGTGGTTATTGATTCAGTATACTAAGTTTACGTGGATACAGCGCATGCTAGCGTGAACAGGAATATGCGGAAACGGCCTATGTCTGCCTCCTCGAACCCCGTCATGTCATACCCACGCAAAACTGCCGCGATGACGGCCAGTATCCATACGCCGCAGTCGTATGTGTTGTGCTGACGTGCTGCTGTCTAGGGACTGGGTGAGACTGCGCCTAGTGGTGTCGGTGAATGCTACTTACCGTGGTCGGATACACGGCCCATGCACGTTGCGCGTGGACAATGCGATGACCCTTATCCGCTGCAATATTGAGCAGGCGCGCGGTGAGCTGCATGACGTCCTGTCGATGCCAATATTAGGATATGCAAGACTTTGACGCCATAATTACTTACCTGAATATGACCCTCCCATGGATGCTCCCGGGCAAAACTGTCGAAGTAGGCGACGCGCGATCGGGGAATGTCAATGGTCGCCAGCATCCAATGGTCCTCGTAGTGGATCGGGATTGTCCATACATCCTTCTCCCAGAAACGTGTGCTTGCCGCATTGCGCCAGAGGGTCGCATCGCCGGCATCCGCGCGCACTAGGGGGAGCATGTATGTGGACAGGAGTGCCACCCACTCACCTCCTGGACCCAGGAAGACGAGTTGGAGGAGCTGCATGCATGTGTTGATGCAGCTATCATTCATCCACGCACTCCGGTTCTGCAGGCGATTCATGTCTGATGCATCGAGGTGGACGTTGCTTTGCAACGATTGCGAGAGGACCGGGGCCGTGGCTTGCAGGAAGTGGGGAGCGTCATCGATGGAGACATGGATCTGCGCACATTAGCGCAAGTGCGGTATCACGACAAGGAAGACTTACTGGAGTCTCCCATGTCATGGTTATTGTCATGACAGATGCCTCGGACCTTGCATCCTCAGGGGGCCCCTCGTCGCCACTAGCGTCGTCCAGGAAGACGTCCTCCACCAGATGCTGTTCTGCCTCGAGGTATGACGGTTCCTCCTCCTCCAGACGCCCGTAGGGGTCTGTATCATCTTGATGGATGATGTAAGGGAGGGGAGTCTCGATGACGAACGGCCATGCATACGCTTGAGGATCGCCGAGGGCGCTGTTGACCGTCTCGGATGCGAGTGTGGTCTGTGCGTCAAATCGTTGAGGCGAGACCAGTGGGTTCTTCCATTTGGCAGGTAGGAGCAGAAGCTCGCAGATGCGTTGCTGTAGCAGAAACGCGATATCCGCATCTGGTAGGGTCCATGGTTAGTGGAAGGGGCGAGTGGCGCTAGCGATGGCTTGGTGTACTTACTGGATGATGTCGCCAATGCCAGTTTGGCGGCCGCAAGCTCACTACCATACCAACGACAGATGTTGTCTGCCTCTCTTCCTAAGCGGCGCCGCTCCTCTAGACAATGGTCTCCAAGTAGGAGCGCGCGAATACCCTTGCAGACGCCGACGTCTTCGAGCCATCGGGGGGCTTGAGCTTGTGAGGGGTCAATCCAGACATCGGCGAGGAGGCTGGCGTCGTCGCGGAGGGCGTCGAGGTCAGTGGGAAGTGGAAGGGGTACGGTGATGGTCCACTCCGGCTGTTTGAGTTCTTTGAGGCTCTCGCAATAGCGATTGAACTTGCGGATCGCTGTCTTGAGGGCGGGCGTACGCTTCGCAATTGCTTTGCGGGTCTGCTGATGGATCTTGGTGCCTATGTGACATGTTAATAGTGAGCGCTGTGCCCCGATGTCTCGCACTCACCTAGAGGGTTGTGCTGTCCACCGACCGCTTGGTCCAGCCGATCCCATTCAAAGAAGCTCCCCACTGCGCGCTTGCGAATGTTGATCTTCAGGTCGCGTGCCATTAGTAGCAGCCTCACGAACTCGAGGCCGATGTTTCCGAAGTCTGGGAAGCTGTCCATGATGTTAAGCGATGAGTATAGGGCCTCTACCTTATCAACCAGGCGTGTATGTGATCGTTCGAGGCTCGCGACGACTTCATGGGACTCGGCAGACGCTTCACCATTTTCAAGGACT